TCCATTCTGTGATATGAATCATGGTAGTGCAAGATGGTGGAAATATACGGGGACCCACAACTATGTAGCTTTAAGGCTCTCTCTAAGTCAAATACAAAAGGCTTTATATAATCAGGTAGTTAGACACTGCTCTAAACATACTCAAGACGGGCCTTTCACATTTTTGCCTATTTTGCTAAATGCTGGGTAATACTGCTAATGATCATCTCTTGCATGTTTACACTAGAGAGAGACACCACATCATTTTAGATGATGGAATTGGTTTATTAATTCGGGGCTTCACAATAATATGGAAAAAGAGCTGCATCCATCTTTTTCAGCTTATCCATGTGTGAATAAAATTGAGTTCTGTTGGAAAAAAGTGGAGGTAATAAAACCTCTTCAACACATAGTATAAGTAAATATTACGGGGCTGTAAATTGTTATGAGCATTTGTATGAAAACCATTCATGCAATAATCTCTTGTTTGTACTTCGTTTTTTAAACTTGGAAGCAAGCTCTGTGTATTTTATAAGGCCTATAAACAGCAGTTTAGTTTCATTGGTGAAAATAGTTTTATCAACAAGATTTGCAGACTTCCCCTTAACTGATGGAGCAGTTCAGGAAGATACAGTAGCAGCGGAGCCTTAAACTGGGATGATGGTATTTGACTGAGAAAAAGAGATCCTTGTTCCTCTTATTCCCCACACACCATGCCTCAGGGTAGAAAAGGAGTAAGTAGCTGCATGGATTCAATTCAAATTGAAAAGCAGGAACTATAATCATCTGCCTGATGAATTACCTCACAGGGCTCTGTAGGTAAATAAGTCCTTGGGAATCGATTATTTGATATTTTCCTGCAGGGCATTCCTCCAGAGTGAACAAACAATGTGCCACATCACAAAGTGTGCACATGAGGGAGGCTGTTGCATCCTATACAGTGCTCAGTGACTGCTTGATCAACCCTTATTTTTCCAAAGCATTCTTGCAGGCTGCTGTATGACATTTTTGGTCCATCACCATGAATCATTTTAACACTATTGGGACTGCCTAGTGGAAATGTTCAACCATGGAACCAAATGTATGTGTTTTTTAGTCTATGTCATTAGGGTGCTATTAGTCTGAAATAACATCTGCATATGCTTGTTTAAAAGTCCAAGTATACACCGTTGTTAAGTCTTAGCCTGACGAAAAACCATGTATTTTGTCTGTGACATACTGTGTACAGTCATTTAATGAGGGCTTTAAATCCCTGAAGAAAATGGCAGTTCTATGCATGAATCAATACACCAACGAGATGGGACAGGAGCAGAGAAAATCATTCAACACGGTTGTGAAGTTAAATTCATCCTCATTTACAGGGAGAATAAAATTACCAAGCATGCAACATCCTGCTTTACACCACGCCTGTTACTCATGAACAGACCCCGGGCTCTATTTTCGTGCCTTACTGGAGACGTGCCGCAAGTCAGGTCCGCCGCGCCGAAAAGGCGTTCCCAAGCCCAATTTGGTATTTTGGTGAGCGGCGCAGCCTGGCGTAAGTATCCCCCCTCCCTAACTCAGCTCCTCCCTGTGGCGTAAGTCGTAGCGAGGGAGGAGAGAGGGCGTGGAGTGAGTTTAACACAGCCGAGACCTGTATTGACCAATAAAATCAGCTCCTCTCCTCACCTTTAAATCCGCCACCGGCGAGACATATTACCATTTTTGTGAGGTGGTCAAAGAGATCAAGAGATGTCTGAGGACAGTAATGCCACACGATGGTGACAGAAGACAGCTTCTCAACAAGTGCCGCTGCAGAGGGCGTCCTCCACACTCTCTCATATGAGCACAGATGGATTTGGTGTGTGTAATGTTGGAGCCACTATTAAGACAAACATCCTTTTCCACAAATAAAGACACTCACATAAAGTTGCATATATTCAAACCTCACATGACAAAGGTGGGTTGTGCGCACAGATCACAACATAAATTCCAAAAATGGCATTAAAATCGGAAACCATCTGTGCGTAATGACACATCGCGCTCCATGGCCTGGCTCTTTAGGGCCCGAGCCAGCTGCAGAGCAGCCGGGGCGTAGAGCCCTGTTGTTCCTGTAGTGGTTTTTCTTTGTTAGGGCCCGAACCAGCTGCAGAGCAGCCGGGCGTAGAGCCCTGTTGTTCCTGTAGTGGTTTTTAGGGCCCGAGCCAGCTGCAGAGCAGCCGGGCGTAGAGCCCTGTTGTTCCTGTAGTGGTTTTTCTTTGTTTCTTTCTTAGGGCCCGAGCGTAGCTGCTAAGCAGCTGCGAGAACCCTCTTGTTCCTGATGGATTCTTCTTTCGTTATTAGGGCCCGAGCGTAGCTGCTAAGCAGCTGCGAGAGCCCTCTTGTTCCTGATGGATTCTTCTTTTTAGGGCCTGAGCCAGCTGCAGAGCAGCCGGGCGTAGAGCCCTATTATTCCTGTATAGGTTTTTCTTTCTTCTTTCTTTCTTTCTTTCTTTAGGGCTGTACGCTTTGTCATATTGACACAAAAATTGACACACACATGTATCTCAATAAGATCTACAAAAAAGTCAGTGCGGGCGTATCTGTCAAATGTACGGTTAAAGGGTTATTTCGCATTTTTTGCCGTTCCGCACACATTGGAATTTCGCTAACTCCTCCGAAGGCTTTCGTTCCACCAGCACTACATTTGCTCAGGCCAATCTACACCCCATGGCCATTGAAAGTTGTACAAATCATGACGCTGCACCCCACGGTTTACGTTCTAGGGGGCGCCAAAGATAACCCACAAATCCACATTCTTAAAAATCTTATAACTTTATATTTTTGTCCTCATTGGCCTCCAAGTTTTCTAGGATGATGCAATGTCCAGCCATCAACACATTTGTGAAGGAATTTTTACTCCCCAAAACAGCGCCCCCCCCCCCCATGGCAGGACAAAAAAGGCCATTTTTTCTTGTCCCCTAAGGTGAAAATACACATTGTTCAGTGTCACGCCTATACGCTTTGTCATATTGACACAAAATTTGACACACACGTGTATCTCAATAAGATCTACGAAAAAGTCAATGGGCACATATCTGTAAAATGTACGGTTAAAGGGCTATCTTGCATTTTTTGCCGATTCGCACACATTGGAATGTGGCTAACTCCTCCTAAGGCTTTCGTTCTACTGACACCAAATTTGCTCAGGCCAATCTACACCCCATGGCCATTCAAAGTTGTACAAATCATGACGCTGCACCCCACGGTTTAGGTTCTAGGGGGCGCCAAAGATGACCCAAATATCCACATTTTTAAAAGTCTTATAACTTTTTATTTTTGTCCTCACTGGCCTCCAAGTTTTCTAGGATGATGCAATGTGCAGCCATCAACACATCTGTGAAGGAATTTTTTCTCCCCAAAAGAGCGCCCCCCCCCCCCCCATGGCAGGAGAAAAAGTCAAGTTTTTCCAGCCCATCGCTTAATGGCTCAAACGCATTGCTCTCCCACTAAAACCAAAAGGAGGAGCAACTTGCCATTTGGATATGTCCTAGCTGTGTTTGTGCCCTCACTCATGGTCCAGAGTTTTTTCAAATAGGACATGTAGTTTGTCTGCAGCGAGCGTTTTGGTAGAAACTGTGCCTCCCATTCATTATAATGGGAAATGACCAAAGACAGGTGCGCACACCATCTTTGGACCTTGACTTTGACGTCACAGTTTGAGATACAAATGTTATTTGACCTCTGACCTTTGGTGGACACCCTAACCTTTCAACCCGCGAAAACGGCGTTTCAATAGCTCTTACGGCTTTCCTACAAATACACTTTGTTCAGCTACTCCTACTGTCCTTTAAGCTCTGCTTCTCAGATCATCAAAGAGTGTGCACGTGTGTAATGAGCGCATATTGAATGTTAATTATGTTAAATATGTTAATTATTAGAAGAAAAAACAACAACAGTCCTTTTGGACAAAATTTCTTTTTATTACAGAATTAGAATAATGGAAGCATAGTCCAAGGAAACCATTCAAGTGATGTCATACCTCATAATTTATTGAGATGTTGGCTAGTCTGGGCATTTCTTCATTCATCAGGTTTCCTGCATGCATACTAACAGAGCACATCAGTAGCAGTGAGTGATAAGTATGAGTGTGTCATTGTGTAAGAAAGAAAGTGGTTTACTTACACATCCATAGAAAATAGGTGGTTGAGCACAGCACGCAAACAAAGCTTTGCCACAACGGTTGAACTTCCCAAGTAGCTGATACCAAGGTCACACAATCATGGTGAGCAAAGGTCAAACCAGGCCAGGCACTCACGAGGCTGGCTGTGGCAAGTGTAAGTGAAAGCAACACGCAATGGCAGGAAGAACAGCAAACACCGATGAAGGAAAAGGGTCTTTGCAGTGATGGGCGTCACCAGAGAGGGCGATGGCCAGAGGGCACGAATGGGACGGGGAGGCGGTCGCGCTGGGGGCGGCGCGACGCGGCTCGGGCCCGACAGTGCCCCAACGGGGCCCTAGTTAGGGCCCGAGCGTAGCTGCTAAGCAGCTGCGAGAGCCCTCTTGTTCCTGATGGATTCTTCTTTTGTTATTATTATTAGGGCCCGAGCCAGCTGCAGAGCAGCCGGGCGTAGAGCCCTATTATTCCTGTAGTGGTTTTTTAGGGCCCGAGCGTAGCTGCTAAGCAGCTGCGAGAGCCCTCTTGTTCCTGATGGATTCTTCTTTCGTTATTTTTCCTCCGCTTTAAACTGGAAAATGGCCCACTTCCCACTGGCGAAAACTCAGGAAATTTGGCAGGACGACCGGGCCTGGTGAAAAATTCGATATTCTGAAGTCGCCCAAACAAAAAAATGAAAAATGGCTCCATAGCGCCCCCTATGGTGAAAATTCACCTGACGCCTGTACGCTTTGTCAAAATGACACAAAATTTGACACACATGTGTATCTCAATAAGACCTACAAAAAAGTCAGTGCGGGCGTATCTGTCAAATGTACCGTTAAAGGGCTATTTCGCATTTTTTGCCGATCCGCACACATTGGAATTTCGCTAACTCCTCCGAAGGCTTTCGTTCCACTGGCACCAAATTTGCTCAGGCCAATCTACACCCCATGGCCATCAAAAGTTGTACAAATCATGACGCTGCACCCCACGGTTTACGTTCTAGGGGGCGCCAAAGATAACCCAAAAATCCACATTCTTAAAAGTCTTATAACTTTTTATTTTTGTCCTCACTGGCCTCCAAGTTTTCTAGGATGATGCAATGTCCAGCCATCAACACATTTGTGAAGGAATTTTTACTCCCCAAAAGAGCGCCCCCCCATGGCAGGTGAAAAAAGTCCATTTTTTCTTGTCCCCTAACATGAAAATACACATTGTAGAGTGTCACGCCTGAACGCTTTGTCATATTGACACAAAATTTGACAATCACGTGTATCTCAATAAGATCTACGAAAAAGTCAAAGAGCGCGTATCTGTATAATGTACGGTTAAAGGGCTATTTCGCATTTTTTGCCGATCCGCACACATTGGAATTTCGCTAACTCCTCCAAAGGCTTTCGTTCCACCGGCACCAAATTTGCTCAGGTCAATCTACACCCCATGGCCATTAAAAGTTGTACAAATCATGCCGCTGCACCCCACGGTTTAGGTTCTAGGGGGCGCCAAAGATAACCCAAAAATCCACATTCTTAAAAGTCTTATAACTTTTAATTTTTGTCCTCACTGGCCTCCAAGTTTTCTAGGATGATGCAATGTCCAGCCATCAACACATTTGTGAAGGAATTTTTACTCCCCAAAAGAGCGCCCCCCCATGGCAGGAGAAAAAAGTGCATTTTTTCTTGTCCCCTAAGGTGAAAACACACATTGTAGAGTGTCATGCCTGAACGCTTTGTCATATTGACACAAAATTTGACAATCACGTGTATCTCAATAAGATCTACGAAAAAGTCAAAGAGCGCGTATGTGTATAATGTACGGTAAAAGGGCTATTTTGCATTTTTTGCCGATTTGCACACATTGGAATGTGGCTAACTCCTCCTAAGGCTTTCGTCCCAATGACACCAAATTTGCTCAGGCCAATCTACAGCCCATGGCCATTCAAAGTTGTAAAAATCATGACGCTGCACCCCACGGTTTACGTTCTAGGGGGTGCCAAAGATGACCCAAAAATCCACATTCTTAAAAGTCATTTTGGCCACTGCAGGAGTAAAGAGTACTGCAGTTCTAGGGGGCGCCAAAGATGACCCAAAAATCCACATTCTTAAAAGTCTTTTTGGTCACTGCAGGAGTACAGAGTACTGCAGGATACACACACACACACACACACACACACACACACACACACACACACACACACACACACACTCAGAGTCTGTTTTTTAGCACCTGCAAAAACATGCTGTTTACATATTTGACAAGAATGCAGAGACTTCCTTTTGCCCCTGAAAAAAATCAAATTTCAAACACAACTTGACTGTTCATTTCTCCAAAAGACAACCATGAAGCTCCATCCAAACCTGAAGCAGGCAGTTGGTGCATGTGTACAGTAACCTGAGGGGAGTGAGGTGACTGCTTCTGAGGAGAACATGAGCAGTGAAGATTCACCTTGGAGCGAGAACAGGGACGTGCACATGATTATACAGGGGCAGGGGCTCAAGTTTTTTCCAGTCGTTTATACAATATGGAAATTAATGTGAAATTAAAAAAACAAAGTATTAATAGAAAGGTAATGACTGTCCTGTGTAGGTGACAGTGATATCCAATAGGCTAGGCACTCACGAGGCTGGCTGTGGCAAGTGTAAGTGAAAGCAACACGCACTGGCAGGAAGAACAGCAAACCCCGATGAAGGAAAAGGGTCTTTGCAGTGATGGGCGTCACCAGAGAGGACGATGGCCAGAGGACGCGAATGGGACGGGGAGGCAGCGCGTTGGGGGGGGGGCGCGACACAGCTCGGGCCCGCCAGTGCCCCAACGGGGCCCTAGTCTTTGTTTCTTTCTTTAGGGCCCGAGCGTAGCTGCTAAGCAGCTGCGAGAGCCCTATTATTCCCCAAGTGGTTTTTCTTTGTTTCTTTCTTTCTTTCTTTCTTTAGGGCCCGAGCGTAGCTGCTAAGCAGCTGCGAGAGCCCTCTTGTTCCTGCATGTTTCCTTCTTTCGTTATTATTTTTCCTCCGCTTTAAACTGGAAAATGGCCCACTTCCCACTGGCGAAAACTCAGGAAATTTGGCAGGACGACCGGGCCTGGTGAAAAATTCGATATTCTGAAGTCGCCCAAACAATAAAATGCAAAATGGCTCCATAGCGCCCCCTAAGGTGAAAATTCACATGACGGCTGTACGCTTTGTCATATTGACACAAAAATTGACACACACATGTATCTCAATAAGATCTACAAAAAAGTCAGTGCGGGCGTATCTGTCAAATGTACGGTTAATGGGTTATTTTGCATTTTTTGCAGATCTGCACACATTGGAATTTCGCTAACTCCTCCGAAGGCTTTCGTTCGACCGGCACCACATTTGCGCAGGCCAATCTACCCCCCATGGCCATTAAAAGTTGTACAAATCATGACGCTGCACCCCACGGTTTACGTTCTAGGGGGCGCCAAAGATAACCCAAAATCCACATTCTTAAAAGTCTTATAACTTTTTATTTTTGTCCTCACTGCCCTCCAAGTTTTCTAGGATGATGCAATGTCCAGCCATCAACACATTTGTGAAGGAATTTTTACTCCCCAAAAGAGCGCCCCCCATGGCAGGAGAAAAAAGTCAATTTTTTCTTGTCCCCTTACATGAAAATACACATTGTTGAGTGTCATGCCTGAACGCTTTGTCATATTGACACAAAAATTGACAATCACGTGTATCTCAATTAGATCTACGAAAAAGTCAAAAAGCGCGTATCTGTATAATGTACGGTTAAAGGGCTATTTTGCATTTTTTGCCGATTCGCACACATTGGAATGTGGCTATCTCCTCCTAAGGCTTTCGTCCCACCGATACCAAATTTGCTCAGGGCAATCTACACCCCATGCCCATTCAAAGTTGTAAAAATCATGACGCTGCACCCCACGGTTTACGTTCTAGGGGGCGCCAAAAATGACCCAAAAATCCACATTCTTAAAAGTCATTTTGGCCACTGCAGGAGTACAGAGTACTGCAGTTCTAGGGGGCGCCAAAGATGACCCAAAAATCCACATTCTTAAAAGTCTTTTTGGCCACTGCAGGAGTACAGAGTACTGCAGGATACACACACATATACACACACCCCAACACACACACACACACACACACACACACACACACAGACACACACACACACACTCAGAGTCTGTTTTTTAGCACCTGCAAAAACATGCTGTTTACATATTTGACAAGAATGCAGAGGCTTCCTTTTGCCCCTGAAAAAAATCAAATTTCAAACACAACTTGACTGTTCATTTCTCCAAAAGACAACCATGAAGCTCCATTTCAAACCTGAAGCAGATAGTTGGTGCATGTGTACAGTAACCTGAGGGGAGTGAGGTGACTATTTCTGAGGAGAACATGAGCAGTGAAGATTCACCTTGGAGCTAGAACAGGGACGTGCACATGATTATACAGGGGCAGGGGCTCAAGTTTTTTCCAGTCATTTATACAATATGGAAATTAATGTGAAATTAAACCACAAATATGTGTGATGAACTGTTTTTAAAACTTAAACTTCAAATAAAAATTGTAAACTTCAAAACATATGCAAATTTTTAACAAAGAACATAGTAATTTACCTCTATTTACATCAAAATGCAGGCAATGGCCCAGGCATTCTTTGTAAAATTATTTACAAAACACTGTATAGTCTCACAAATGTCACTTTTTATTTATGCCACTACAAAAAAACATGATGTAAATGATGCATGATGTAAAACATGATGTAAAAAACTTGTGTAGATCCTCCTCTATGTCAGTCCATGTGTAATTTTTCCATAATTCTTTGTTTTTTGCAGCATTTTTGTTAGTGTAACTGCAGATTGTGCTGACAGTGTCTATGGCACAAAAAAAAAAAAAATTTAAAATGCCTCAACATGAACCCCTGGTGGTCTCTGAGGGTGAAACCTGCTAACTGCTGCAGCTCTGTCAGCTTCAGTCTCCCATGCAGAGCTCTGAGCGCATGTGTGGCTCTGCACCCTTAGCAGCGTTGCTAACTCCTCAGTAAGGAAAGCCTGCTTCATGTCAGAGTCTCTAAACTCCAGAAGAAGTCGATAAAAGTCCCTTTCTTTCTAAAAAAAAGTCGTTAGGGGGTCTGAAAAGTCATTGAATCTAACAACAAAGTCGCTAGGTTTGCAACTACGTGTCCCAGACTGCATCCCTGCTGAGAGTCCCTCCCTCCCTTCTCATGTTGCAGGAAGAACGTAAGCGCCCGCCCCTTGTCAATCAGTCACCATATAATTTTGGATTGGTTGTTGTGGTGAAGTTTTCCACCAATAGGAGAGATGTTGTGGTGTTTTTTTTTTTCTTTTGGCAAGCCTTTTCCGCCTGTAAGACCTGTCGCTAATGTCTGCATGCTATGTTTTCCTGTCTCATACAGCGCGATCGAGCGCCGAACGTGATCAAAATAAGCAGAAAAAAAGTATCGTGGACATAATTTATCATAACTCTGGTTTTATTTGGCCTATCAACACAATTTAAAAACTGGTATATAGGTTGCGGTCCTCACTTTTGAGATAAGTTGAAACGGAGAGTCAACGAGGCTCCGTCTTGCAGCTACATCCGGTTAAATATGTCATGTGACTTGAACGCACACACAGACACACACACACGCACACACACACACACACACACACACTCAGAGTCTGGTTTTTAGCACCTGCAAAAACATGCTATTTACATATTTGACAAGAATAAAGAGGCTCCTTTTGCCCCTGAAAAAAATCATATTTCAAACACAACTTGACTGGTCATTTCTCCAAAAGACAACCATGAAGCTCCATCCAAACCTGAAGCAGGCAGTTGGTGCATGTGTACAGTAACCTGAGGGGAGTGAGGTGACTGCTTCTGAGGAGAACATGAGCAGTGAAGATTCACCTTAGAGCTAGAACAGAGACGTGCACATGATTATACAGGGGCAGGGGCTCAAGTTTTTTCCAGTTGTTTATACAATATGGAAATTAATGTGAAATTAAAAAAACAAAGTATTAATAGAAAGGTAATGACTGTCCTGTGTAGGTGACAGTGATATCCAATAGGCTAGGCACTCACGAGGCTGGCTGTGGCAAGTGTAAGTGAAAGCAACACGCACTGGCAGGAAGAACAGCAAACGCCGATGAAGGAAAAGGGTCTTTGCAGTGATGGGCGTTACCAGAGAGGGCGATGGCCAGAGGACACAAATGGGACGGGAAGGCAGCACGTTGGGGGGGGGGGGGGGGGACGCGACACGGCTCGGGCCCGCCAGTGCCCCAACGGGGTCCTAGTTAGGGCCCGAGCGTAGCTGCTATTTCACACTATTGACTGTCACGCCTTTACGCTTTGTCATATTGACACAAAAATTGACACACACATGTATCTCAATAAGATCTACAAAAAAGTCAGTGCAGGCGTATCTGTCAAATGTACGGTTAAAGGGTTATTGCGCATTTTTTGCCGACCCGCACACATTGGAATTTCGCTAACTCCTCCGAAGGCTTTCGTTCCACCGGCACCACATTTGCTCAGGCCAATCTACACCCCATGGCCATTAAAAGTTATTCAAATCATGACGCTGCACCCCACGGTTTAGGTTCTAGGGGGCGCCAAAGATAACCCTAAAATCCACATATTTCAAAGTCTTATAACTTTTTATTTTTGACCTCACTGGCCTCCAGGTTTTCTAGGATGATGCAATGTCTAGCCATCAACACATTTGTGAAGGAATTTTTAATCCCCAAAAGAGCGCCCCCCATGGCAGGAGAAAAAAGTCCATTTTTTCTTGTCCCCTAAGGTGAAAATACACATTGTTGAGTGTCACGCCTGTACGCTTTGTCATATTGACACAAAATTTGACACACACATGTATCTCAATAAGATCTACGAAAAAGTCAATGCGCGCGTATCTGTCAAATGTACGGTTAAAGGGTTATTCCGCATTTTTTGCTGATCCGCACACATTGGAATTTCGCTAACTCCTCCTAAGGCTGGCGTTCCACCGGCACCACATTTGCTCAGGCCAATCTACACCCCATGGCCATTAAAAGTTATTCAAATCATGACGCTGCACCCCATGGTTTAGGTTCTAGGGGGCGCCAAAGATAACCCTAAAATCCACATATTTCAAAGTCTTATAACTTTTTATTTTTGTCCTCACTGGCCTCCAAGTTTTCTAGGATGATGCAATGTCCAGCCATCAACACATTTGTGAAGGAATTTTTACTCCCCAAAAGAGCGCCCCCCCATGGCAGGAGAAAAAAGTCCATTTTTTCTTGTCCCATAAGGTGAAAAAACACATTGTTGACTGTCATACCTGTACGCTTTGTCATATTGACACAAAATTTGACAATCACATGTATCTCAATAAGATCTACGAAAAAGTCAATGCGCGCGTATCTGTAAAATGTACGGTTAAAGGGCTATTTTGCATTTTTTGCCGATTCGCACACATTGGAATGTGGCTAACTCCTCCTAAGGCTTTCGTCTCACTGACACCAAATTTGCTCAGGCCAATCTACACCCCATGGCCATTCAAAGTTGTAAAAATCATGACGCTGCACCCCACGGTTTACGTTCTAGGGGGCGCCAAAGATGACCCAAATATCCACATTCTTAAAAGAATCCACATCCCCCCCATCCCCCAACCCCCATGGCAGGAGAAACAGTCAAGTTTTTCCTGCCCATCACTCAATGGCTCAATCGCATCACTCTCCCGGCAACACCGTAACAAGGAGCAACTTGCCGTTTGGATATATCCTAGCTGTGTTTGTGCCCTCACTCATGGTCCAGACTTTTTTCAAATAGGACATGTAGTATGTCTGCAGCGAGTGTTTTGGTAGAAACTGCGCCTCCCATTCATTATAATGGGAAATGACCACAGACAAGTGCGCACACCATCTTTGGACCTTGAGTGTGACGCGATCGGGAGGGGGAGGCGGTCGCGCTGGGGGCGGCGCAACGCGGCTCGGGCCCGACAGTGCCCCACCGGGGCCCTAGTTAGGGCCCGAGCGTAGCTGCTAAGCAGCTGCGAGAGCCCTATTATTCCCCAAGAGGTTTTTCTTTGTTTCTTTCTTTCTTCTTTTTCCTCCCCTTTGAACTGGAAAATGGCCCACTTCCCACTGGCGAAAACTCATGAAATTTGGATGGATGACCGGGCCTGGTGAAAAATTTGATATTCCGAAGTCGCCCAAACAAGAAAATGCAAAATGGCTCCATAGCGCCCCCTAAGGTGAAAATTCACACTATTGACTGTCACGCCTTTACGCTTTGTCAAAATGACACAAAAATTGACACACATATGTATCTCAATAAGATCTACAAAAAAGTCAGTGCGGGCGTATCTGTCAAATGTACGGTTAAAGGGTTATTCCGCATTTTTTGCCGATCCGCACACATTGGAATTTCGCTAACTCCTCCGAAGGCTTTCTTTCCACCGGCACCACATTTGCTCAGGCCAATCTACACCCCATGGCCATTAAAAGTTATTCAAATCATGACGCTGCACCCCACGGTTTAGGTTCTAGGGGGCGCCAAAGATAACCCTAAAATCCACATATTTCAAAGTCTTATAACTTTTTATTTTTGTCCTCACTGGCCTCCAAGTTTTCTAGGATAATGCAATGTCCAGCCATCAACACATTTGTGAAGGAATTTTTACTCCCCAAAAGAGCGCCCCCCATGGCAGGAGAAAAAAGTCCATTTTTTCTTGTCCCGTAAGGTGAAAATTCACATTGTTGAGTGTGACACCTGTACGCTTTGTCATATTGACACAAAATTTGACAATCACGTGTATCTCAATAAGATCTACGAAAAAGTCAATGGGTGCGTATCTGTCAAATGTACGGTTAGAGGGCTATTTTGCATTTTTTGCCGATTCGCACACATTGGAATGTGACTAACTCCTCCTAAGGCTTTCGTCCCACTGACACCAAATTTGCTCAGGCCAATCTACACCCCATGGCCATTCAAAGTTGTAAAAATCATGACGCTGCACCCCACGGTTTACGTTCTAGGGGGCGCCAAAGATGACCAAAAAATCCACATTCTTAAAAGAATCCACATTCTCCCCCATGGCAGGAGAAAAAGTCAAGTTTTTCCTGCCCATCGCTCAATGGCTCAATCGCATCGCTCTCCAGGCAACACCGTAAGGAGGAGCAACCTGCCATTTGGATATATCCCAGCTGTGTTTGTGCCCTCACTCATGGTCCAGACTTTTTTCAAATAGGACATGAAGTTTGTCTGCAGCGAGTGTTTTGGTAGAAACTGCGCCTCCCATTCATTATAATGGGAAATGACCACAGACAAGTGCGCACACCATCTTTGGACCTTGAGTGTGACGCGATCGGGAGGGGTAGGCGGTCACGCTGGGGGCGGCACGACGCGGCTCGGGCCCGACAGTGCCCCACCGGGGCCCTAGTTAGGGCCCGAGCGTAGCTGCTAAGCAGCTGCGAGAGCCCTCTTGTTCCTGTAGTTTCCTTCTTTTGTTATTATTATTATTTTTCCTCCCCTTTGAACTGGAAAATGGCCCACTTCCCACTGGCGAAAACTCATGAAATTTGGCAGGACGACCGGGCCTGGTGAAAAATTTGATATTCTGAAGTCGCCCAAACAATAAAATGCAAAATGGCTCCATAGCGCCCCCTAAGGTGAAAATTCACACTATTCACTGTCACGCCTGTACGCTTTGTCAAAATGACACAAAAATTGACACACACATGTATCTCAATAAGATCTACAAAAAAGTCAGTGCGGGCGTATCTGTCAAATGTACGGTTAAAGGGTTATTTCGCATTTTTTGCCGATCCGCACACATTGGAATTTCGCTAACTCCTCCGAAGGCTTTCGTTCCACCGGCACCACATTTGCTCAGGCCAATCTACACCCCATGGCCATTAAAAGTTATTCAAATCATGACGCTGCACCCCACGGTTTAGGTTCTAGGGGGCGCCAAAGATAACCCTAAGATCCACATATTTAAAAGTCTTATAACTTTTTATTTTTGCCCTCACTGGCCTCCAAGTTTTCTAGGATGATGCAATGTCCAGCCATCAACACATTTGTGAAGGAATTTTTACTCCCCAAAAGAGCGCCCCCCATGGCAGGAGAAAAAAGTCCATTTTTTCTTGTCCCCTAAGGTGAAAATACACATTGTTGAGTGTAACACCTGTACGCTTTGGCAAAATGACACAAAATTTGACACACACGTGTATCTCAATAAGATCTACGAAAAAGTCAACGCGCGCGTATCTGTCAAATGTACGGTTAAAGGGTTATTCCGCATTTTTTGCCAATCCGCACACATTGGAATTTCGCTAACTCCTCCGAAGGCTTTCGTTCCACCGGCACCACATTTGCTCAGGCCAATCTACACCCCATGGCCATTAAAAGTTATTCAAATCATGACGCTGCACCCCACGGTTTAGGTTCTAGGGGGAGCCAAAGATAACCGTAAAATCCACATATTTAAAAGTCTTATAACTTTTTATTTTTGTCCCCACTGGCCTCCAAGTTTTCTAGGATGATGCAATGTCCAGCCATCAACACATTTGTGAAGGAATTTTTACTCGGAAAAAGAGCGCCCCCCCATGGCAGGAGAAAAAAGTCAATTTTTTCTTGTCCACTAAGGTGAAAATACACATTGTTGAGTGCTAAGCTTGTATGTTTTGTCGTAGTGACACAAAATTTTACATACACGTGTATTTCAATAAGATCTTCGAAAAAGTCAATGGCCACGTATCTGTAAAATGTACGGTTAAAGGGTTATTTCGCATTTTTTGCAGATTCGCACACATTGGAATGTGGCTAATTCCTCCGAAGGCTTTCGTTCCACCGGCACCACATTTGCTCAGGCCAATCTACACCCCATGGCCATTAAAAGTTATTCAAATCATGACGCTGCACCCCACGGTTTAGGTTCTAGGGGGCGCCAAAGATAACCCTAAAATCCACATATTTAAAAGTCTTATAACTTTTTATTTTTGTCCTCACTGGCCTCCAAGTTTTCTAGGATGATGCAATGTCCAGCCATCAACACATTTGTGAAAGAATTTTTTCTCCCCAAAAGAGCGCCCCCCCATGGCAGGAGAAAAAGTTAAGTTTTTCCTGCCCTTCGCCCAATGGCTCAAACGCATCGCTCTCTCGGCAAAACCGAAAGGAGGAGCAACTTGCCATTTGGATATATGGAAGCTGTGTTTGTGCCCTCACTCATGGTCCAGACTTTTTTCAAAAAGGACATGGAGTTTGTCTGCAGCGAGCATTTTGGTAGAAACTGCGCCTCCCATTCATTATAATGGTAAATGACCACAGACAAGTGCGCACACCATCTTTGGACCTTGAGTGTGACGCGATCGGGAGGGGGAGGCGGTCGCGCTGGGGGCGGCGCGACACGGCTCGGGCCCGCCAGTGCCCCACCGGGGCCCTAGTTAGGGCCCGAGCGTAGCTGCTAAGCAGCTGCGAGAGCCCTCTTGTTCCTGTAGTTTCCTTCTTTTGTTATTATTATTATTTTTCCTCCCCTTTGAACTGGAAAATGGCCCACTTCCCACTGGCGAAAACTCATGAAATTTGGCAGGACGACCGGGCCTGGTGAAAAATTTGATATTCCGAAGTCGCCCAAACAAGAAAATGCAAAATGGCTCCATAGCGCCCCCTAAGGTGAAAATTCACACTATTCACTGTCACGCCGGTACGCTTTGTCAAAATGACACAAAAATTGACACACACATGTATCTCAATAAGATCTACAAAAAAGTCAGTGCGGGCGTATCTGTCAAATGTACGGTTAAAGGGTTATTTCGCATTTTTTGCCGATCCGCACACATTGGAATTTCGCTAACTCCTCCGAAGGCTTTCGTTCCACCGGCACCACATTTGCTCAGGCCAATCTACACCCCATGGCCATTAAAAGTTATTCAAATCATGACGCTGCACCCCACGGTTTAGGTTCTAGGGGGCGCCAAAGATAACCCTAAGATCCACATATTTAAAAGTCTTATAACTTTTTATTTTTGCCCTCACTGGCCTCCAAGTTTTCTAGGATGATGCAATGTCCAGCCATCAACACATTTGTGAAGGAATTTTTACTCCCCAAAAGAGCGCCCCCCCATGGCAGGAGAAAAAAGTCCATTTTTTCTTGTCCCCTAAGGTGAAAATACACATTGTTGAGTGTAACACCTGTACGCTTTGGCAAAATGACACAAAAATTGACACACACATGTATCTCAATAAGATCTACGAAAAAGTCAATGCGCGCGTATCTGTCAAATGTACGGTTAAAGGGTTATTCCGCATTTTTTGCCGATCCGCACACATTGGAATTTCGCTAACTCCTCCGAAGGCTTTCGTTCCACCGGCACCACATTTGCTCAGGCCAATCTACACCCCATGGCCATTAAAAGTTATTCAAATCATGACGCTGCACCCCACGGTTTAGGTTCTAGGGGGAGCCAAAGATAACCGTAAAATCCACATATTTAAAAGTCTTATAACTTTTTATTTTTGTCCCCACTGGCCTCCAAGTTTTCTAGAATGATGCAATGTCCAGCCATCAACACATTTGTGAAGGAATTTTTACTCGGCAAAAGAGCGCCCCCCCATGGCAGGAGAAAAAAGTCAATTTTTTCTTGTCCACTAAGGTGAAAATACACATTGTTGAGTGCTACGCCTGTATGTTTTGTCGTATTGACACAAAATTTTACATACACGTGTATTTCAATAAGATCTTCGAAAAAGTCAATGGCAACGTATCTGTAAAATGTACGGTTAAAGGGTTATTTCGCATTTTTTGCAGATTCGCACACATTGGAATTTCGCTAATTCCTCCGAAGGCTTTCGTTCCACCGGCACCACATTTGCTCAGGCCAATCTACACCCCATGGCCATTAAAAGTTATTCAAATCATGACGCTGCACCCCACGGTTTAGGTTCTAGGGGGCGCCAAATATAACCCTAAAATCCACATATTTAAAAGTCTTATAACTTTTTATTTTTGTCCTCACTGGCCTCCATGTTTTCTAGGATGATGCAATGTCCAGCCATCAACACATTTGTGAAGGAGTTTTTTCTCTTTAAAAGAGCGCCCCCCCATGGCAGGAGAATAAAGTCAAGTTTTTCCTGTTCATCATTCAATGGCTCAAACGCACTGCTCTCTCGGCAAAAGCGAAAGGAGGAGCAACTTGCCATTTGGATATATCTTAGCTGTGTTTGTGCCCTCACTCATGGTCCAGACTTTTTTCAAATAGGACATGGAGTTTTTCTGCAGCGAGCGTTTTGGTAGAAACTGCGCCTCCCGTTCATTATAATGGTAAATGACCACAAACAAGTGCGCACACCATCTTTGGACCTTGAGTGTGACGCGATCGGGTGGGGGAGGCGGTCGCGCTGGGGGCGGCGCGACACGGCTCGGGCCCGCCAGTGCCCCAACGGGGCCCTAGTTCTTCTTCTTCTTCTTATTTTTCTGCCCCTTTGAACTGGAAAATGGCCCACTTCCCACTGGTGAAAACTCATGAAATTTGGCAGGACGACCGGGCCTGGTGAAAAATTCGATATTCTGAAGTCACCCAAACAATCAAATGCAAAATGGCTCCATAGCGCCCCCTAAGGTGAAAAATTCACATGATTGAGTGTCACGCCTGTACGCTTTGTCAAAATGACACAAAATTTGACACACACGTGTATCTCAATAAGATCTACAAAAAAGTCAGTGCGGGCGTATCTGTCAAATGTACGTTTAAAGGGCTATTTCGCATTTTTTGCCGATCTGCACACATTGGAATTTCGCTAACTCCTCCGAAGGCTTTCGTTCCACCGGCACCAAATTTGCTCAGGCCAATCTACACCCCATGGCCATTCAAAGTTGTACAAATCATGACGCTGCACCCCACGGTTTAGGTTCTAGGGGGCGCCAAAGATAACCCTAAAATCCACATTCTTACAAGTCTTATAACTTTTTATTTCTGTCCTCACTGGCCTCCAAGTTTTCTAGGATGATGCAATGTCCAGCCATCAACACATTTGTGAAGGAATTTTTACTCCCCAAAAGAGCGCCCCCCCATGGCAGGAGAAAAAAGTCCATTTTTTCTTGTCCTATAAGGTGAAAATACACATTGTTGAGTGTCACGCCTGTACGCTTTGTCATATTGAAACAAAATTTGATAATCACGTGTATCTCAATAAGATCTACGAAAAAGTCAATGCGCACGTGTCTGAAAAATGTACGGTTAAAGGGCTATTTCGCATTTTTGGTTGATTCGCACACATTGGAATGTGGCTAACTCCTCCTAAAGCTTTCGTTCCACCGGCACCATATTTGCTCAGGCCAATCTACACCCCATGGCCATTAAAAGTTGTACAATTCATGATGCTGCACCCCACGGTTTACGTTCTAGGGGTCGCCAAAGATAACCCAAAAATCCACATTCTTACAAGTCTTATAACTTTTTATTTCTGTCCTCACTGCCCTCCAAGTTTTCTAGGATGATGCAATGTCCAGCCATCAACACATTTGTGAAGGAGTTTTTTCCCGTTAAAAGAGCGCCCCCCAATGGCAGGAGAATAAAGTCAAGTTTTTCCTGTTCATCGTTCAATGGCTCAAACGCATCGCTCTCTCGGCAAAAGCGAAAGGAGGAGCAACTTGCCATTTGGATATATCTTAGCTGTGTTTGTGCCCTCACTCATGGTCCAGACTTTTTTCAAATAGGACATGGAGTTTTTCTGCAGCGAGCGTTTTGGTAGAAACTGCGCCTCCCATTCATTATAATGGTAAATGACCACAGACAAGTGCGCACACCATCTTTGGACCTTGAGTGTGACGCGATTGGGTGGGGGAGGCGGTCGCGCTGGGGGCGGCGCGACACGGCTCGG